GACAGCCTAAAAGTCATTTTTTGTTTGAGACGGTCTCTTTGTCACCCTTGGTAGAGTGCTGTGGCATCACACCTCACAGTAACCTCACACTCTTGGGCTTAAATGATACTCTTGGCTCAGACTCTCAAGTAGCTGGGACTCCACAATGCCTGGCTATTTTTCTTTTTTTTAGGGACGAGGTCTTACTCTGGCTCTGGATTAGGCTGGTCTTGAACTCATGAGCTCAGGCAACCCACCCACCTCTGCCTCCCAGAGTGCTAGGATTACAGGCATGAGCCACCTCAACCAGCCTTTCTGAAAGTCATTGACAAGAAAGAGCAAGATAGTGAGGAATATTTTAGTGTTTAAGCCCTGATGTTGAATGACAACAAAAAGGAGAATAATTTGGTTTTTTGCCTTTAGAAAATAAAATATGTGGTATTAAATGAATGTCTAAGTGGAATGAGGTACAGATCATTTATCTACCAGAATAAAAACTTTAAAATACATTAAACTATAATAAATACAGGGGAAATGAAGGGAAAAGGAATAAATACAACTTTGTGATAGGAGAATAAGGATAAAGAGATAATAAACAGAAAATCAAATTGAGAGGTAATCATACAGGATGGTGAGAATAGCTGGCCCAGCTTAATGCACATTATTACAGTAGGTAGGGAAGCTGGTTAACAATATTTCATCAAATATTTACTATTTCAATTTTTAGAAAGTACCTCTGAATAGTCCACAGTGTCTCTGTGACAGAGAGGGCCTGGGAGGGGACTCTGGTAGACTGAATAATGACACCTGCTAAGATGTCCATGTCCTAATTCTTAGAACCTGTGAATGTTACCTTACATGGCAAAGACTTGTGTTTAAAGAATCTGAGATAGGGAGATTGTTCTAGATTATCTGGGCAGGCCCTAAAGGCAATCACAAGTGTTCTTATAAGAGGGAGGCAGATTTAACAAAACAGAAGAGGAAAAGGCACAGAGTGAGAATGGAGTGATACAGTCACAAATCAAGAAATGTTGGCAGCCCCCCAAAGCTGGAAGAGTCAGGGAGTAGATTCTCCACTAGAACTTCCAGGGAGCACAGCCCTGCCAACACCTTGATTTTTGGCCTAGTAATATTGATTTTGGACTTCTGGCCTCCAGAACTGTAAGAGAATAAATTTCTGTTGTTTTAACCTACCAAGTTTGTGATTTGTTACAAAAGTCACAGGATCTAACACAAAGACTAACCCAACATTTCAAAAAATTGGAAATTTTCAGACCAACCAATTTAACTCCAGTCACTTACAGGAAAAGAAGATATCTGTGATTCTGAGGAAAAGGAAATAACTAAATTGAAAATAATATGCACGATTCATTTGTTCAACTTAGTGCAGGAGGAGTGGGCAAAAATTATAATCATGTAGTCATATTATAACATAAAGGGATAGCAATAATTCCAAAACAACTGGTTTGAAAAGGGAAATGTAGCAGTTACATCTTGTTACAGAACAAGGAAAGTAACTTGCTCAATCATGTCAGTTTAGGGATTGCCAGATGTTAAACGAGAGAAAAGGACTATATGCTATATAGAAACAAGGAGACAAAGGAAATATTAATGCTAGCAATAGCCATCATTTGCTCAGGTTTTTTTTTTTTCCACTTTTACAGTTTTTGGCCGGGGCTGGGTTTGAACCCAGAACCTCCAGCATATGGGGCCAGCGCCCTCCTACTTTGAGCCACAGGCGCCACCCTATCATTTGCTCAGTTTTCAAAGCATTTCCAAATGTGTAATAATAGCAACCTCTGAGTACTGCTATGTGCTCCATGCTTTTTATCTCATTTCATCTATATAATACTATCAGGATAGGTATCAAAATACCCAATCTGTAAAAAGTAAACAAGTTAAGGAACAGAACAGAAGGCCCAGAACCTGGGTTTAGAAACAATGTTTTTTTGTCTCCAAAGCCCACCCTCTTTTCTGTTGTACACCCTGCTTTATTGTACCATTAATCCTCACACATGCTCTATAAAGCAATCTGTGAGTTCTGTCAAGATAGGGAATAAATATCTGCCTTGTTCACCACTACATCTGGTGATCAATAAATATTTATTAAATGAATGAATGGAACAAATGAGGCATAGAGAGATTAAATAATTTCTCTAAGATCACACAGCCACTATTTGACAGGGCTTCTAATTCCAAATCCTGTGTACTATAAATGGATTGAAGCCCTACAGCATATTGAGCTATGTGTGTATACTGGGTGGGTGGGGGAGAGAGAGAGATAAGGGACAAACAGGTGAAATAACAGAAGAATTTTTTAATATAAATGCTGCGATCCTACATGAGTGAAGATAAATTGAAAGACTGTGACTTGGCTGGGCATTAAGGCTCTTGCCTCACTTTTTTTTTTTCTATTTTTAGTAGAAACAGGGTCTTGCTTTTGCTCAGGCTGATCTTGAACTCATGAGCTCAAGCAATCCACCGCCTCCACCTCCCAGAGTGCTAGGATTACACTGTGAGTGACCATGACAAAAATTTTAAAGAGTTAGCTGGGCATAGTGGTACATGCCTGTAGTCCCAGCTACTTGGGAGATTGAGGTGAGAAGATCTAGAGTTAGAGGTTACAAGGAGCTGTGATCATGCTGCTGCACTCCAGCCTGGGAGACAGAGTGAAACCCCATCTCTTAAAAAACAAACAAACAAAAAACCCAAAACACTGTGACTGGAAAAGGGGAATTTAAAACAGTCAGGAATGTGGTAAAGCATTGCTGGATGAGGGAGTGGTCTCAGCAGAGACCAAAATAAATTGTATTCAGGGGAAAAGAGCCATCCCCTCAAATGCCATGCCATCAGTCACAAGGGTATGTGGGTATATGCCAAAGGCGGCTTTGCCTAAGAATTGAAACAGAGTAAGTGATTCCATGTGGCAAAGGACTTCTGGGCCAAATAGGCAGATTCTGCTTCCTGAACTATCTGCCAAACTCTCCTAAAGTACTGGCTGGACACCCAGACTGGAAATGAGAAACTTAAGAATAATGAGAAAGACTGTGATGGGAGGTGGGGAGGTTGGAGAGACAGTCACCACAAGAGTCTGAAGCCTGACTGTTCATTGTCAGCACACTCTTCTTTTTCCCTCACCCTTGCTAAAGAAATGAAAGTTTTTACAGGACGCCCAGTTTAGAAGCCATATCAGAGGCTCTCCAGGTAATATAGACAAGAAAAAGGGTACACACCTCTATAATTGTAATAAATGCCTATACTTTTCCAAGTGGAAAACTTCAGATTTCAGATGAGCACTCCTGGCTACTCCTGTTCCTAGAGGCAAAGACTACCCTTGATCTCAACCTAAGGAGATCTGAAGCAGCAGGATAATAGCTGATGATGGCAGTTCCAGCATATAGCCTTAGCAAATCTAGGAATTAAACTGGAAAAATAACTTTCACAATGAATTTCAGAATCATATTCATTTGTCTCTCCAGCACCTAGAATACTTGCCCTGTGATAGGAGTTTAAATTGTCTGAAGAACAAAGGAAAACTGATGGTAAATTAATCATTAGGTATATATAGCAAAATGGATCTAAAAAATCTGTTTTCACTGGAATTGGGGAGGGGTAAACCATCAGCATTTAAGAGTGAGAGAAAATGAGATGTTCTTAAGGAAGTAGGAATGAGAAAATTTGAGATGATAATTTTCAGGTACCCAATATATGTCAGTTGCAATATCTCAGTTAATACACATCCTGACCCGTGAGGAAACTGAAGCTCAGTGAGGTTGAGTCCCTTCCCCAAAGACATAGCTGATAAGTGACAGAAATATCCAAAGCCTGTAAGTGCTCTATTTGCTACACTTAAAAAGAAAAAAGTCTATAGAGAAGGCCCTGCAAACTACTAGAAAGTTAAAGATACATTCACTTTCAGATCAAGGAGGACTGCCTGGACATCAAACAGAAGTGATGTCGGAAATGCTTGACTTCAATTCTGTATCTCACACCCTCACCATATATTCCTTGTTACTTACACTAAAAATATGAACTCAAACTCAGACAGGGAATTCTATACTGGTTAAATAAAAACGGCAAAGAAAATCCTTACATCCCCCTTCCCAGAAATTAGGCATCTTTAAGGTGAAGATTGTTAACCAAAATAGCGTTTCAACTTGGCTCATTTCCACAGAACTTAACATCGAGAGAGTCTAGGCCTGGGATTTATCCTCAGTTCCTAGGCAAGGGCCAAGAAAACAAAGCCAGACAGACAGAGGCAGGAGTCCTGAGTCTCCATACTAAAAAAGATAACCAGAGTAGATACTAGGCCACCGGAAGCTGAGTGGGCTCAATAGTATGGTATTTTCTTTTAACTTTTTTTTTTTTTTTTGCAGTTTTTGGCCAGGGCCAGGTTTGAACCCACCACCTCTGGTATATGGGACTGGCGCCCTACTCCTTTGAGCCACAGGCGCCACCCTATAGTATGGTATTTAAAGGCACACTTGTTGTGAGTGATTTGTGAAGGCACTGCTTAATTCTCCAGCAAATCTTAAGCTGCATGGAAATTTTGGAGTGAAGACAAGGCAGTAAAGAATTAAAAAGTCAAGGTTAAGGAGATGGAGTAAATTAACATGGGAGCCCAGGAATTGTGAGGCCACAGAGGGAAGATTGAGAGGATGTGAAGGAGAAATTGTATCTGTGATAAAGGACAATGGGGGCTGGTTCTGAAAAGTATAAAGATGATAAGGCATTGAGCCAGAGGAGGAATTCCATTTCTAAAGGAGAAAAGGGAAGAGAAGGGAACTGTCTCTGAAAAAAAGGGGTCCCTGGAGAATATACTAACTGAGTAAAGAGGCGGTGGGAAGCTTAAACGTATGTGTATGTGCGTCTGGACGTGAGAGTGTGTAGAACCCAGAAGTAAACTCCCCAAAAGGAAATGCATGTTAGGGCTCCACGCCAGGAAAAGCGATCTGGAGGACTGTGGGAGCAAGGATCCTTTACGGAGAGTGTCCCGCAAGAGGCCAGACCCACAGACTCACCTCGGCCGTAGCCCTGCGTGTGCTTGGCAAAGCTTCTTACCACAGCCTCCACGGCCTCCCGCAGCACAGCCGGGCTGCCGGCGGCGCCGGGAGGCAGGGGCAGCCCGGGGGCCCCCGACAGGAGCAGCGGTGGCGGTGGCGGTGCGGGAGGCGGCGGAGCCGGTGGGGGGCCTGCTGGGGGTGTGGCGGCGGCAGCCGCGGCCCCAGTCACTCCGGGCCGCAGGGCTCGAAGAGTGCCCCTCCCGCTGTTGCTCACTCCAGGCTGTAGCCGCTGTGCTCGCATCGTCTCCATCCTGGCCGCCAGCAGAGTAGCGGCCCGCAGCCTGCCAGCCTGGCCAGCTAACGGTCCCCACCACCCCAGTCAGCGAGCGCCCTGGGACTGAGGGCGGTGCGGAGGCCGAGCTGCCAGTCAATTGAGGGCGGAGACGAGCTAGGTCCCGTGCCAATCACTAATGAGGGGGCGGGAGCTGTAGGGCTTCCGCTCCGCCATAGGCAAGTTATTGAGGAGGGCGGAGGTTCTGAGAACCAATTGCAAAGAGAAAAATTGATACCCTGTGTTAGGGAGACGCAAAGCTTGGGCGAGTCTTTGGGAGTCCTATGGCCAGCGCTAGAAAGCCGGCCAGAAAAACTCTGGGGCGGGGCTTGAAGGAAAAAAATGGGCCTGGACGCAAGGCTGCAGAGAATTGTAGACACAGCGAGGGGATTCTTAGAGATTATTTGACTACTTCATTTTATAGATGTAGATGAGGAAACTGATTCGGAGAAGTGATATGACTTGTCCAGTATCACATGCAATTGGTGATGAAGCAAGAAAAATACTGGCGTTTTAGTGACCATATACTATGCAGTATTCTTTAGTCCATTGTTTTATTTAATGATAACCATCACTAACTAGATTTTATTATTTTATGGATAAGGAAACAGACGCTCACTGAGGCTAAATTGACCAAAATTAAATAGGTAGGAGATAGACAAAAAAATGTGCTCAGATATAGGTGTTCTGATTCCTAATATTTTTATCCTTTCATTATGCCACATTAGCTATTCCAAGCAGGGGAAGAATAAAAGAAAGTAGAATGGAAGTCTCCTTTTACTTCCCTTAGAGTGAGAAAGAGAGTGTATGCAGAAAACCAGCTGAGAAGCCTGAGTGGAGAGGGCAGATTAAGAAAGGTATCTTGTTCACAGAACCTGTCAGGTTGGGTTCTTGTGATTGATTCGCATACATGCACACACACAACACACCCTTTGTCAACTGACCATTTTGCCATTTTTACTTAGGTGAGGTTATATTAACTGCCCTTCTAACCCCTCCTCCTACAGTGGCTCAGAAATCAAAGATGAGGAAATAGAGGCCAGAAGTAGAAGTAAATAGATGAAACACATCTGGTGATATGAAAATGAGACCCTCAGTAAAAAGTGTGAGTGGTTAAGAAATAAGAAGCTAGACAGAAGACAATCTACTGGGATATAACTGCTGATGGTGGAGAGAGGGACTCTTTGTAGGAATCTTAAAGAATTCAAGGATGGACACAGGGGAAACTGGAGGAAATAAAAGCCTGCCAAATGTCTTAAAATCTTCAGGATACAGGATACTTGCCTTTCCTTCTACAACCACAGTTGGTCAATTGGTCTTCTGGAAAGAAGGTGACTGGAACCTCTAAATGTCCCCTGGATCATTATAGCTATAAGTTAGGATCACCCTTCCTCCCCATTCTTCATTCCCCACACCCACACCTCCAGGCAGAAGTAACAAAACAGAGACTTCTGAACACATTTATTTGATATGTCAGGTGGAGAGAGTAGTGATTTAGGGTCACTCCCCACTTCTATGTGGGGGGGTTTCATAAGCTCAGGCAGACAGCAGCTTAGAGCCCATGACCCACCCCCTGAGAAATGAAACAACCTATTTTAGTGATTGGGTGGACAGGCTGGGAATAAAAAGCAGGAAGTTGAGAAGTGAATTTGAGGCAGGAAAGGCAGCAGCAGAACTGAGGCTGGGGGTTGCTGCAGGAACCCCCAAAAGAGTGAAGAAGATATCCTGAAAAGTGTTTGGGTCTGGAAGTATGAACAAGGAGCCAGGCCTAGAAAGAAAAGCAAGACCTGTGGAATGGGGTGGGATATTCATGAAGAGGGCAGAGTAGGTAAAATCATGATAGGTTGTGTTGCAGGGTATTACATGGAAAGCAGGGGATTGCTTCTGCAGGAGGGCAAAGATATTGAAGACTACCCATAGTAGGGGGTTCCCTACTGCTTCTGAACAAATGCAATTAAGTTTGGCACCCTAGCACAAGTGGTCATATATGTTTATTGATGTGCTGTGCCTGTGGGTACACGAGTAATCCCACATGCATGTGAAATGACCAGGGCATGAATGCATGTGTCTATGTGCCCAGTAAATAGAGTACTTATCCTTCCTTGCTAATAAGAGTGCTGTGCTTGTGGACACATGTTCAATTATGTGTGCGTTCACTGTGCCCATAGCACGTGCAAGAGACCCTTATCTCTAAGGTATGTGTGAGCCGGTTCTCCCACCTGTTCCATCAAGATCCTGATCCTCACCCTCCTTGGCTCTTCTACTTCTTTCAGCGCCCTGGCTCCCCTGGCCCGCCTAGACTCTGGAAGCCCCCTAGCAGGCGAATCTGCTCAGTCTGCATGGAGTGTCGTCTCACCAATTTGCGCTTGGTCCTGGGAGAGCCTGGCGCCCCTGCATAGGGAGGGGCAGGCAGCGAAGGCGCCCGACCTCCGGGTTGGGGGCGAATGTCGGGAATAGGAGGGTGGGGGCTGACGTTGAGCGGGGGCAGGAAACCCGGCCGCGTTTGCGAAATATGGTCCAGGAGCAACGTCCCCGAGCCCCTCCTTTCCAGCAGCCCGGGACTACGCCTCCGTCCGCTCAGCGGGGATACAGCCCCAGGCAGACTCTCCTGAGACTGGCGCGGAGAGGGAACCGAGCCGGCTGGAGGGAGGGTCAACGGGGAGGCGCTATATCTGCGGCGCTCCAGGGACAGGCGACTGGACTCTGGCGAATCAGGGCAAAGATGTCCGGGAGTGTCGAGCTCCACCGGCTCCATGCGACTCAGTTTCTGCCTCAACCCTGAAGGGGGACCAGACTCCTGAGCCTCTGGCGCTGTATTTCGGCGAGAGAGGGGACCCGCTCCGGTCACTTTCTCCGCCCACGGGGGCGGGTCCTCCGGGCCTTCGGTGCTGTGACGTCGGGAAAGACGGGGTCGACTGGTCAGGGTCAGGCCGTTGAATTCGGTAGTCAAGCGCTCGATTCCAGGCCTCCCTTCAGCATGTGGGACCGGTTGAGGAGGAGCTACTAGGCCCCAGGGCTCCGAGTTGAGCCTTTTGAGGGGCTTTGGAGGGTGGCGCGGTGGTTTGGGGAGCGGCTCCGAAGGGGAGGAGTCATCAGGGGGCTTAGGAAGAGGGAATTCAAATACGTCCCGCTTCTCCTCTTCTTCCTGGGCTCGAGGGGATAACAACCCCCGCCCTCCTCCTCCCGCAGTCTGCAGCTGGATTTCCGAAGGCGACGTGCACACCCCCGGGCTAGAAGGAGCGGGAGCAGGGTCCTCCACTCCTGGGGACGGTGGGGAATTGAGATACTGCCGGGTCTTCTTGGTGCCAGAGGGAGAGGTATCAGTGGTAATGATGATGACCTCCGTGCCCTTGGCCTTGCAGGCATCTAGCAGCGTGGCAAGGGTCTCGCGGTCTCCGCGGTCCAGGGCGTGGACAAGCGCTGAGGCTCCCGCGTGATCTCGGACGGAGGGGTCTGCGCCGTGAGCAAGGAGCAGCGAGGCCACCGCGGCGCCCCCACCCCCAGCGCAAGCGTGCATGAGCGCAGTGCGCCCTAAGCGGTCTGCGATGTTGGGGTCCGCGCCTTGCTCCAAGAGGTAGCGTACCATGCGCGCCTTGTTCTGAGGGTCGTCGTAGCGGGCCCGACAGGCCGCCATTAGCGCAGTCTCCCCTTGGGCATCACCCTCATTCACGTAGGCGCCTCCCTCCAGAAGCAAACGGGCCAGGCGTAGCTTACCCTGACCCACGGCCCGAAGAAGAGCGTGGCCCTCGGTGTGCAGCATGGCTGCGGCTGGCACGAGGGAACCGATGGAGCCGGGACTGGGACCTGCCGAGGATGCCTAGGGGTGTGGGGATGGTGGTTGGCTGAGGCCTGAGGTCTTAGTGGAAAAGCAGGTCCCTGCAAGAAAAAGAAAGATCTTATTGATAGATTCGGCAGAGAAACTGAGGCACTGATGGAGGGACCAGGCGTGGGGTGCGGAAGATCTCCATGGCACACAGTCCTTCCTCTTAACTCATGCCTTTGAGCCGCCCCTTCCCCCCAGCGCATGCCTAAGGAGGTGGAAAGTGTGCACCCGCACTGAAGGACGAGCGCGTGCAAATGCGTTCGTGCACGCGCAGGGATATCCGCACCCCCACCCTCACCCCACGGCTTATCAGACCTTTCCAGCATCCCTCTTTTCGTATCCACAGTTGGAATCCCCCTTTCTAGGATGCTGAACATCACCCACCCACACACATGCATCCATACAGTCAAACACATATTCCCATTCCTAACAGCTTTTAGGTTGCCACAGCCCCAAAATTGAGTGGGGGGAGGGAAACAGCTTGCATTTGGGACCTAAAACGGGTGGGGGGAGAATTGGGGTTTCTTTTGCCCCTGCTATGTTTCCAATTACTCCTTGCGCTTTCCCCTCCCGGGCTGTGCGCCCAAATAGATACCTGAATATCCGCAGAATCTCCGCCCGGCCAGGATTCAGGCCGTGGCCAAGGGACAGCCTGGGTGGCGGAGCCGGGTTCCCGGGGGCCCACATGGCTTATGGGGGGGCACCCGGATTCCCTTGGTGTCAGTATCTGCGCCCCGGCGCTGGATCCTGGTCCCTCCTCCCGGAGCGCCCCGGGCACAGCGCCGGCTCCGGAGGAGAGAAGCTGGGGGGAGAGGAGGGCGGAGCTCTGCTGTACTATTTATAGCCAGGTCTCTGCGGGTGGGGGCGTCGGGTACCAAACCGCTCCCCCACCCATGCACACAGAAACCTTCAAAAACGTAGAGGCTCCAGTCCTGACTTCCCTTTCTTAGCAGACCTCCCCTCAGCCCCAACAAACCTAAGTGTTCCCTTAGGGAACTCCTCCACGACCTGGACACCGACCATCTGGATTCTTCGCTGAGCTTCAGCAGATCCCCTTCTTGGCACTTGGTGTGTTTTTTATGCGCTCCTCTGTGCCAGACCTGACCTGCCATACACGGCACATGGGACACTGTGCAGAAAGGTGTAGAGAGGCGATTTGGATCCACAGCCGGCGCCCATACTGTGCAGAGACAGATCTGGCTTCCTTCTTGTAGTTTATGAGGGAGAGCACGATCCAGCCTGGATTCAAACACAGGTACATCCGCATCCTACCTCTCCCCAAACGCAACAAATATCACAGATAGACTTGGACCTGAGCTCCCTTGTATGGATCTCTTAGATGAGTATGATGAAGGCGGTTACCCGGAGGCATTTTTAGAGAGGGCAAGGGACATTTTCAGATGCTTCCATCCCATATTCTTGCGGGGCGGGGAGACAGGAAAAGAAAAGGCAAGGAAAAGAGCACTCGTAACACACTCTCATGCCTCTGTTTACTCAGTCTTGCTTAGACTCATTTTTCCATCTTGCTTGAAGGTCTGTCTGAATGCTCCTTGTGTCTTCTCTCTTATCTGTTGCTGTTGGTCTCTCACACTGTCTCTGCCTCTCCCTGTCACCTGCCCTGTCTCCATGGTTACCATAGTTTCATCTACATATTTTAGGAAGGCGTCTGTGTCCATCTGGAAGGCACTAAGGAAAGTGAAAGATGAAGAAATATCCTAAGGACTTAGAAAGCCCACCTAGAGTCCTGAGATAATTCAGAGACCAGAGGCCCCCAGCCACAAGATTCTAAAAATAATGTTCCTCGGGAAGAGGGAGAGAGATTATTTGCAGAGAAGCTACCCATATCTACTAGTTATTTCTTGGATGCCAACTATGTGCCAAGTGTTTTATATACATCGCCTCCAATCCTTACAATACTATAAGGTAGAAACTATTACCTCTTTGTTTACTGATGAGAGAAACAAGACTTAATAAGGCTAAGTAAGTTCTCCAAAGCTTCAAAGCTATGTCTCTGTCCTATTCCAAAAACTGGGCCCTTGCCAGTAAGCCCACAGCCTCCCAGTCAAAAGGCATTTTTCTCTGGCATCTGGGATATTCTTCTCAACTAACTCCCAGATTTTATCTTCACTCTGAGTTCTTTTCCTGTTTCTGTTTTCTATGAAAGTAAGATGATTCTTTTCACCCTGTCCTCTACCAAGGGGCTTGGAGGAGCTGGAAGGCATTGGAAGATGCGAAAAACACGAAGTTCCTCCCCAGCGTTGGTCCTCAATCCTTCCCCAGAAACGGTCTTCCCACCTTCTCATAGACACGGCAGCAACCTACACAAAAACATATTTAGAAAAGAAGTATCCATTGGTGGCGCTGGAGGGAGGCAATGTAGGATTGAAAGGAATATTGGCGTAATGCAGGAGAGGCCAAGCTGTAAAGCCAGGTCGCAAAAACATTGATCTCTAAAGAGCAGCTTTCATGGGGGTTCATTTCTCTGTAGGGGCTCTCCTCTTTTGGCTTCTCTGTGGGGGCTCCCTCAACAGAATCCCTCGAAGAGATGTGGGTGTCATTTTCGCTCTGGGAACTCTCGCTGGCCAGAAGCTAGCTCCTCCACCTGGGGTGAGGTTGGAAATATCTGACCCCTGGCGATTCTGCAGCCACATCTTTCTTGATGCCCTTCTTCCCAAGCCTTAGTGTAGGCTCCCTGGTTCCCTCCCGCTCTTTCCAAGATTCAAGGGGGCGGGCCCTCCCGCTTCCGCTTTTCCTAGATTGGCCGAGAGAATCCACCAATGGGCAGCTTCCGGAGGCGGGCCTAGAACGCCTGAGGCTTAAGGAAGACCAGCGAATTTGGAGTTGGCTGCTGCTTGGGCTCCGCGTGGGGGAGGGGCAGCAGGTAAGGCTCAGACTTGGCGACTCTGACCTGGGTCTGTCTCACACTAGCCAAACTAGTCCCTGGGGCCAGGCTACGAGATAGACAACGCATTTCAGCATTCTGTTGGATCAGCCCCCTTTTGACTCCCTACCTTTCTCCCCAGGCCCCCATTGCAGTATTGAAAAACATAGTTTTCTATCGTGCAACGGGGAGACATATTAAAGCAGAAAGCGAGAAAGACTCATTCTTGTACCTCCAACTCTTTGCTATAGCATCAACCTACCCCGAATCTATTAATATTACCCCCTAACAGCCTGACATACTCCTGTTGTCTATCAGGACTCAACTGAAATATTACCCTTCTACCTGTAGCTTTCCTGGATTGGTGTTCTTGCAAAATTATTTTCCAGTTTGACGATAGCATTTTACCAATACCTCTATTAGAACACTTAGTACCCTCTTTCACTTAATATTTTTATGCTTTTTAGAATGTAAGATTTTGTTGGGCAGGTTCTAATACTTAATACTAGTGCCCAGTAAGCATCAAGTGAACCAAAGTGATTTCCAGGAATTAGTACTCCTGTTGGGGAGGGAGACTTTAAACTCCTAATGTAATTAGGGAACAATAAAAAATATCGTATATGGCTCGGCGCCTGTGGCTCAAGTGCCTAAGGCGCCAGCCACATACACCTAAGGTGGCGGGTTCAAATCTCCAGCCTGGGCCCGCCAAACAACAATGATGGCTGCAACCAAAAAATGACCAGGCGTTGTGGTGGGCGCCTGTGGTCCCAGCTACTTGGGAGGCTGAGGTAGGAGACTCGCTTGAGCCCAGGAGTTGGAGGTTGCTGTGAGCATGATGCCATGCCATGGCACTCTACCCAGGGTAATAGCTTGAGGCTCCGTCTCAAAAAAAAAAAAAAGAAAAATACGGTATATGTAATTAAGGGTCCTTAAATTGGTTTGTAATATTAGTGTTTGGTAATTGTTTCTGCAGTCTAGAGAAGGAAGAAAGCGAGTAGAACTGGAATGGTGAGGAAAGTTTATAAATCACAAAGTCTCAAGTTGGGAAGAATCTATGGAAATCATGCACAGTATTTATTCATTCATTCACTCAACAAGTATTTATTGAGCACCTGCTACATACCAGACACAGTGCTAGACAACAGAGATCATAATGAATCCTGTACTCTATCCATGATAAACTTTATTAAGTAAATTGTTACCCAGCTTCCACATAAACATCTTTAGTAAGGGAACTTCTTGTGACTATTTGCAAGTCTTTCCAGTTTGAGGTATTTATTTTTCAGTCAATATTTAACAGAAATCCTTTTTTTTTTTTTTTTACATTTTTTTAAATTGTTGGAGATTCATTGAGGGTACAGAGAACCAGGTTACACTGATTGCATTTGTTAGGTAAAGTCCCTCTTATAATTGTGTCCCACCTACAGAAATTCTAGGTAAGAAATATATAACTCAGCCAGGCATAGTGGCTCACACTTTTAATCCTACCACTCTCAGAGGCCAAGGTGGGTGTATCACTTGAGCTCAAGAGTTCAAGACCAGCCTGAGCAAAGCAACACCTATGCCATGACACCCTAGCCTGGGAACATAGACTCTATCTCAAAAAAACCCCAAACCAAACCAAAAAAGAAAAAATATATATATAGTTCAGTGAAATGCATTCCACATTTTCTACATTTTCATTATAAAAGAGGGAAATCTGTTCTAGTGACAGTGACAGTATCAGTATTCCTTTTTTTTTTTTTTTTTTTGCACTTTTGTCCGTGACTCGGCCACCTCCGGCGTACAGAGGCCGGCGCCTTACTCCTTTGAGTCACAGGCGCCTTCCCTCCTTTTTTTTTTTCTTTGAGACAGAATCTCACCTTGTCACCCTTGGTAGAGTGCCATGGTGTCATAGCTCACCGAAACCTCTAACCTTTGAACACAAGGGATTCTCTTGGCTCAGCATCCCTGGGACTACAGGCGCCTGCCACAAGCTCAGCTGTTTTTAGAGGCAGGGTCTAGCTCTGGCTCAGGCTGGTCTCCAACCTGTGAGCTCAGGCAGTCCACCAGCCTGTACCTCCCGGAGTGCTGGGATTACATGCGTGAGCCACCGCACACAGCTAGTGACAGTATTCTTTTTTTTTTTGGAGACAGTTTTACTATGTCACCTTCGGTAGAGTGCTGTACTGTCACAGCTCACAGCAACCTCAAACTCTTGGGCTTAAGTGATTCTCTTCCCTCAGCCTCCCAAAGTACCTGGGACTACAGGTGCCCACAACTACACATGGCTATTTTTTTTGGTTACAGTTGTCACTGTTTTTTAGCAGGCCCAGTCTGGGCTCAAACCTGCCAGCCTCGGTGTATGTGGCCAGAGCCCTACCCAGTGAGTTACGGCACTGAGCCTAGTGACAGTATTCTTTTTTTTTT